CACCCCCCTGTCCTGGCCTGGAGGTGGCTGTGCACACGGTGTGGAGCTGGGGAGACACGTGAGTCTCCTTGGATTTCAGCCCAAAGATTGGTTACAAGCTCCCAGGTTCCTCACCTTTGTCTTTGCTGCTTCTCTCTCTCTGGCTTCTGCAAGAGCCGTGGGTTTGGCTGCACCTGCAGATTCCCCGGTTTCACATTCTCCTTGCAAATACTGGAGCCCAAGGGCAGGGGGGCTATGGCCCCTTGCCAACGCTTCATGGGGCACCTGATGCTTCTTCTGTTGTGCCCAAAGGCTCCGCAGTCCTTGCACTTCACCTGTGGGTGGAGGAGGAAATGGTCTCTCAGTCAGCGGGAATCACAAGCACTTTTCCACAGTGAATAGAAGGACAGAGTTTGAGAGGTGAATATTGGTTTTGGAGAGGGGACAGGACATATGGCAGTAGCTGTCAGCACACTGAGCATATTAGGGTGCCTTCCAAAAGCCTCTGCTAGGGAAGGACAGTGGAGGAAGAATTGGAGCTCTCAAGGTGAGCAGATGAGTCATAAGTGAAGAGTGAGATAAAATCCAAGCTAGACACGACAGCAAAGAGGAAGTGAGGTTGTTCCTACGAGTCTGTGAATGGGCCTGTGCCTGGTGATGTGGTCCTAAGGCAAGAAATCGTCACATGGGAAAGGACAACGGAGTGATGGACACAGAAGTGGCCATGTTCAACCCCTGCCTCCTCTGGATTCCACGCACATCGCTGGTGCCCCACAGACCCAAGCCTCCTCGCTTACCCTGGGATCCTCCTCCTCTGGTGGGGGAGCCTTCTTTGCCGCCGGTCCCTTCACTTGCTTCTTGCCGTTCTGGGCATTAGAGAGTCTGGAGGGCCCGTGCTGGTTGGAACGGCCCTCCATCTGCCTCACCTCCTTGGATTGTCACCTCAGTGTTTCTGGGGACTTGATGTTCGGATTTCCTGAATCAAAAGCAGAAGAAAACTTTCAGATTGACACAGAGGCTAAAGTCTCTCATGCACCTTCTTCTCCAAGTGGGGATGAAGGGACCTCATGACCACTCAGTCAAAACACATTTCTCACGAGGTGATGTCTCCCTCCCAGCGATTTTGTCCTTCTCCCCGACTCCCTCGCCCGACAATAGAACTCTGCCCAAGACCAGACACGGGAATCCTCCTTTGTGAATTTGCATTTTCGTCCTTGAAAGAGTGATTTGAGAGACGTTGGTGAAGTCTATCACAACGCACTCTATTTGGACAAAGAAAGACAAAATTTCCCCAGGTGTACACAATAACCCATGCCGCGGGAATGCGGCAATGAATGCCGGGACACACGTCTTGGAAAGTCCAAAGCAAAGTAAGCTTTCCTCTCAAAAACTGGAAATTCCTCTTTGACACGAGAGGAGGCACGTTTCAAATTCCAATTCACATAGGAAAAATGTTTTCTCCTCTACTGGCCTAGAGGCCTGCCAGGGTCAGCCGGGACAGAAGTGTTTTGTTTTGTTTGTCATCCTCATGACCCAATTTTAACTACTTTCCAAGAAATGTCAACTGAATATGTTTGAACTAAGTGCCAGCTAATCAATTCTCTAGGCTTTAAGGCCCATAGCCAAAGCCAGCGAGTTTCCATTCTTGCTCACTCACTGCCCCATGCACATCAGGGACTGGGGTCTATTTCCTCTGGAATTTGAACTTTGTCTGATAATGAGCATTGAAAATGATGTAGCTTATGGATCTCTTTCTCAAAATTCCTGTGAAAATTAAAGAATCAATACCCCAGTGACTCAAGCCACATTGCTCCCTCTTTTTCCTACTGTCCTCCCTCTCAGCAGGATCGTCAGAGGGGGCAATTTGTAATGAAACCCACCTGAAATCCAGTAGTGCTCCTCCGGTCTGATTCTCTACAGCTGGGTGCGGGAACAGCTCCCTTCGACGGGATGCAGCTTCCAAGGTGCCTGCGGAAGGGTCAGAGGGGGAGTTTCCCTTCCGGGCAGGCTTTTATACTGTTTCAAGGTCACGTGACCTCGTTAAGGGGATCTCAGTCAATCCATCTCATCTACCCACCTTTGACCTAAGCAGGTCTTGAAGCCATGAACCGTCCTGTGTCGTTTAGCATTTTCAGGCATTTTCAAATGCCAGGCACTCCTGGGCATACTTTGAAGAATATCTGTTTTCTGTAAGGAAAAGAAACATCTGTGCTAATGCCTCTATCTTTCTCCACTTTGCACGTTTGCTCTTGTGGCGAATTATGTGTAACGTGGTAGTTATTCTTGGAAGGCATTTAAGTGCAGACTTCTACTGCCCTGAGTGCATTCACCTCGTTGTGCAAACATCACCATCGTCGGTCTCCCCAGCTTTTCATATTCTGCAACTGAAAGTCCCTATCTATGTAACACCCACTCTTCATTCTTCCCTCCCTGCAGACTCCTCTTCCACCATTCTCCTTTCCATGTCTATGCATTGGACTGCTCTAGGAATCCACAGAGAAGGCATTGTGCGATCTGCGTCCTGCTGGGACTGGCTTCTTTGGCACTGTGTCTTGTGACTCAAATAATTGTTCCTGGCAGGTCCCTTTGCTTGACCCAGGCAGCTCCACACGGCTCAGTCTCTTAGTCCTGAACTCGGTAGTATGTAGATGATGTGGGAGTTTCTTTTTTTGCCTCATCTCCCATTGGTTGATATTTGTGTGACTTTCACAAATTCACGCTAGCGGTCAGGGCCCCGAGACGGTTAGGCACAGGTCTGTGTTTTGACGATGGGATGGTTGAGAATGGAAATGCCCTGTGATCTCATCTGGGCAGTTGCTCCTTGATTCAAAAGGACCAGCTTGACTTCCAAAGCGGGTCGCTAAGTACAACCACCAGTAACGTGGGTGGAGTGTCTCCGTAGTTCCATATTATTGGCACCCTGGGGAGTTTCCACAGTTTGTGGTTTGCAGAGGTTTGCAACCGTATGGACTTTGAAAATTGCATTTCATTAATAATTTATGAACTTGGAAAAATGCCCTAGGTCCTTGCTCTGTAGCCACGGCTGGATCCCATCATCCTGCCCTCGAACCTGGGCAGCAGGGGCCCCGTCCTGATCTCCCACCGCAGCCTTTGGCCTCCTGGTGGCCTCTCCTCCCTCCAAGGATGGCGTGACCCCCGTGATTTTCACACCACTGGCCTCAATTGCCCCTTACCCACCCTCCACGTGATTGGGGTAGCACTTGCCACTCTCAAGGTTAGCTTCCCAAGGCAGAATAAACTGCGTACTTTCTGTAAAATAAAGGTATCCCTTTCACACCTGGAATTATACCAATTTGCATAGACACTTTTTGGTTCTGTTCTTTTAATTCTTAATTTTTCCATTGTCTCCTTGACATTGCAGAGAAAATCCCTTGGGATTTAGAGTGGAATCGATGAGAACTTATAAGAGAAAGTGTTTTGTGTTGAATTTTCCCTACTAAGATATGTATTAACTGCTCCTAATTTACACGGCCGTTTATTTCAATTAGGGGTATTTTATGTTTTGTCATAAAACTCTACAGAGTTTTTCCTAGATTTCATATTTAGATCAATTTCTTTTCGGAAGGAGGGATATTGTCAGTAACCCTTCTCCTCCATTGTAGTATTTTAATTTATTGCAGTTAAACATGAAAGCTACCAATTTGGAAGTTGGATTGCCGTAGTTGAATTGTTGGTTGAAAGCAGCCGTTGGTTCCAAGACATTTTCTCTGATTTTTCTAGGATGTGCCTCATAGAGCATCGTATCACCAGCCAATACCAAAAAGGTTCAGGTGTAATTTCCAAGAGTGCACAGTGCCCTCATTTCTCATGTGTCATGGCCCTGGCAGTGTGTGCAGCACAGTGTGGAGAGGAAGCAAACCCTGGGGGCTCCTTATCAATTTCTCTGTTTTTGGAGGCAGGAAGTTGACCTGAAAGCATCCCGTTGGCTATACCAACGTGGAATGTTTCAGTCGACTGTAATTCTTGCAGAGAATCTGCACGTCCTTTGCCCTCCTCAGAGGCTGTGCATGATCTCCGATACTATAATGATTGGGAGTAGCTTCATCACTGGGTCGATGATCCTCATTGTTATCCTTGCTATTCACTGTTATTTTTATTATTTTACCTGTTGTCTTTATGGCTTATAGTTCTGGTTATCTTTAGTCGACAATGAATAGCCTTTCTCTATTTCTGAAGTCTTTCTGATCGACTGAAGATATGCAGGCAGGTTCCCAAAGAGACAGATATAGAGAGTGCAGCTCCCAGACTCTCCCTCTATGGCAAGGAACCTGTCTGTCTGAGGACGTTCCTGAAATATTTGTTGTTCATCTGGCAGGCGGAGGCCATTGCGTGCCAGAAGCAGAGAATCAGGATGGGTGTCCTTGGCTGCCTGAGTCTCTGGACAAATCTCAAACTACGTCCGAGGCCCAGCAGTGGCTTGCAGCTGCCAGAAAGACCAGTGTGGGTGTCCGTAGCGAGCCAGCGCCACCATAAATTTTTACCTTGAGCTCAGGGACCCCAGATTGGCTCTCGATGATGTTAAAGGCTAGTGAATGGTGTGCAGGAGCCCCCAGAATTTTTTCCAAGATGACCTGGGGGCACCGGAACTGCTCCTGTCTGCCTGCAAAGGCTGCAGAGGAAACCGTCCTCCTCGTGCAGAATTTTGTATTTCTGTTCCAGTGCCCAGGAACTGCCATTGGACAAAATGGTGGTGCGAGGATGGCTTCCTAACTGTGCCTGAGCTGTTGAAACTCTTCCAGGTCCCAATACCGGTCTGCCAGCAATTCGCCTGTCTCCCCTCAATGTCCTTGCTCCCTCATCTTGCGTTTCCACGTCTTCCTTCCTGGCGTGGGCTTTAGAGTCCTAACTACCAAGGTAGAGCAGTGTTAATTCCTCTAATGAATTGAGGTTCCCAGCACAATTCCTTGCACCCAGGGAGCCCTAAGGAACATGTGACTGCACACTAGATGCTCAAGCAAGGTCGTCTGAATGTAGTATGGCATGTTGTTTCCTGAAGGCGGTCCTGCTGAGACCCTGTTGCCTCCTGTATTCTTCTGTCAATGTACTGAGAGTAAGTGAATAATGTAGGCTTTCTGCGAGACCATGGGTGATCTTCACGTTAACCTACTGTGTTTGTATCGAGATGATGGTTGGCTGTCAGGGTTTGTGTGTCCTGTGCTTTCTTTCCCAGGCTGAGTACTAGTGGAAGTGATTCTTGAGCGAGCAGCATCAGCATCCCCAGGGAATCTTGAGCAATAGAAAGTGATGGGTCCTTCCCAGACTTCCAAGCTCCTAATTCCCTAGTGTTGATCCCTGTCCATCCAAGAAATTTCTCGTGCACGAGATTGTGAACAGGACTATTAGCTAAAGTGTTCTGAACTCTGGGTTGCCATTGAAATCCCCTATGTCGAATTAAGGAATGCACTCATCAGCACTGGTGTATGGTTGTTCTGTGGTGTCCCTTGCATGAATGGGGTTGTCAGAATCTCTAAGAGAGTTATGGGGCAGGATGGAGGCCCTGAACCCAGGGCCTAGGTGCCAATGGAAGCAACTCTGTCCCGTGTCCCAATGAGAATGGACCATTTCAGAAGCTTTGGCAGTCTGGGGTCTTGCCCAAATGTGCTGTTTTGACTTTTCCCTTCTTTTCCGTGACCTTGTGTGCTCCACCAGGGTCTGCCCTCCTCAGGAGGCACAGAATCCTGCAGACTGAGTGAAGCACTATCCAATGGATTTCCTACAGGTAGGTAGGAGCAGTCATTTGTTCTTCCTATTTAAATGTTCCTTACTGAGTCATAGGATTTTTCTGGATCCTACTCAGAGATTTTCCCAAATTAGAAAATGGAGATTACAGGTGACTTATGTTAAATCTTTGTCACCACCTCCTGTGGATCTAAAACTTTGCTGCCTTTGGCATCAT